AACGATTTCCGGAGACTAGTTATTACCATGGAATAGAATCGAAATCGGAATCAATTCCAAGAACAGATTTCTCTTAACATAAATCGCTTAATATAAATCACTTACTACTGGAGCGCTAAGGCGCTAACTACTGGAGCGCTCTCTAAGGCGCTAACTACTGGGCTTCACTCTTATATTTCTGAGCTCATCGGAAGCTCGACGGAGCTTTTTTCCTCTCAGAATTCAGGTCTTTGAATCAAAATCGACGTCCAGTCACTGCTTATTTGCATGGAATAAAATCGAAATCGAAATCGAAATCGCTTCCAAGAACAGATTTCTCTTAACATAAATCGCACTTACACTTACACTTCAGCAACTTCACCAACTACACCAGGATCAGTATCAACTAAGCCTTTCACTCCCTCCAGTACCTCTACAGAGATATTTGAAGCAACTCTCTCTTCTTCAGTCAAACTGGCAAGGAAACACAGTGCTTGGTTCTTCAATCTCTCCCTCTCTCTTCCATAGGCAGTTTCTCTGATTNTATGGACTTCACCACGCCCAGGCAAGTGGCAGTCCCATCCTGTTGTACTAACCCAAATTGGACCCCCACGATCACCAAGTGTCTCTGGTAAATACCCAGAATGCCTGCAGCAGGCCCCTCCATCAGAAACCTAAGACATGGTCTGCAATTCTGCGTTGCCTTGATCCATGGCAACATCAACTCCTCAAGCTGGTCCAGTTTGAGACCGGCTTCTCCCAAGCTCTAGATGTACTGGCTACCGGAATACCCCTCCTCATGGTTTCTGATGGATCTGGTAAAGATGGTTGCATGTCCTTTGGTTGGACACTAGCTACCACAACTGGGGATAGAATTGCTCATGCACATGGCCCATGCTTTGGCAGTGAGAGTTYGCTTTGCGCAGAAGCCACTGGATTGTTATCAGCTAGCCTTTTCGTCACTATACTTGTCTCACATCTTCACCAATGGTACCATGAACTGAAGCCTTGCTTTCATTTCAAATATGGAATGAAATCAAGATCTCAACTTGATGAGAACAATACACAGTCTGACACCAGTACCAATGATGCAAGCTCATTACACGCMTCAGAAAATAACTTGACCATTTTGRGCAAGTTATTTTCTGATGGATACCATGCAGAAACACATCCAACTTCCCCCTGCCTATCCCCAGCATTGTCCCCTCAAAATCACAGAAAAGTTAGAAAWTTCCAAATTGGTTCTCTATTTGGCAATGAATTGGAAAATTTCCAAACCTTTATCAGCAAGCTGAATGATATGCATCTTCAGGACCAACATCATCATCTTTCGCCTTCGCCCTCTTCTGATACAAGTATTTCAAGTTCATCTTGATCTACTGGCACCACACAACCTTGTCTAACACAGGTTACTTTTCTCAGTGACAGCAAGGCGCTCATAACTAGACTCCAATCCAGATGTGAATACACAGAAGTCTATGCCAATGCTACTCTGGTACCAGAATTTGACTTGATTGAACAGATCTTTCAAACCATCCAGTCTCCAACCATCACCTGCTCCTTCTCTTGGGTGAAAGATCACCAAGATGACAACATTTCTTTTGATCAACTTCCTCTGCAAGCTCAACTGAATGTAGAAACTGACAGTTATGCTGGTGATTTTCAGGCTCAGATGACTACACTGCATTTCATCACACCAGTTTTACCTTCATGTCCAGCAGTGCTTCAGATCCAATCACGCTCTGTCACAAGCCAATATAAGAGAGCTCTCACAGATTCATGTCTGATCCCCCGATATCATGCATACTTGACAGATAGGAACCAGTGGTACTTCTCTACATCAGAGGGTACACTCTGATGAACACATTTGCTCTCTTTGGGGAGGACGTACTGATACGCAAAATATTGGAATAGTGCAAAGTTGAGTGATACAGCAAACTCAGTTTCGTCTCGTTCTTTCCTTTGCGATAAAATAATCCTTTGTGTTGAGTGTATCTCCGCCAGTTGCGATAAAGTGTTGACTTGAATATTTAACCCCTGCAATGGCATCTTGACGGGCTCTGGTGTTGGGTTCAGTCACTGGCTCTGCCAACTGCTGGCTCTTTTGGGGGGCGTATTTCCTGAATACYTCACCATTGAAACCACCGTCATTCAAAACTTTAATTGCTGCGGTGTTTCTCTTTTTGTGTGAAAATGAAATCAGTGCAGCTGTCTTTGGATCCGTGGTCAAATCAATCGATCCGTCTGGCAACACGATCAGCTCATGTTGAACTTTTTCGTCCTCAAGGCAATTCCGGGTGAACAGAGAAATCCCTATGGTTCTCCACACATCTTTGCATCTTTCAACGGAGAAGGCTTCGTCAAAAGCAAAATCCAAAACAACGTTCTCATTCCAGCCATCACGCTTACCAAAGACTATAATCAGATTGACGAAGATTATCATTTGTCTTGCGGCGGTGGTGAGCAAGTTTCTCAAGATTCTTTTGGTAGAGAGTTTTGAAATAACCATAATTGCGATCTGTTGGCTGTGTGACATGAGTCGTATTGGGCACCCCAGGGTGAAGGAGAAAACCGCGGGCTGCAAGGCTTGCCAATAATTTTTCGTTGTTTCTGCCAGGCCCACTATCAACAATCAACATAACTCGTTTGCCGGGTAGATCTGCGGCATCTGGATACAGCTTAAGAATYGCATCCAATACGTATTTCTCAAATTCATYGCCATCCATTCCGGCGTTGGCATTGCAATTCACCGTTGCTCCATKGCTGGTCAAAGAATTGCCACCGTATATGCCATTYGTGTTAGGAACACCATCCACAAAAACTTCATGAATTCGCTTCTTCTCGTCCTCTGTCGCAGTTGATTTTAGCTGAAAGTGGGGCGGCAAAGGATAGCCAGCAGCATTACTACTGGCAACGAGAGTGATTCGGGAACTGCTTTTGTTTGTCCTGTCTGCACCGCATCCAATGGCTTCGTCAGTTGACCCATACGCCGTAGAAGGCCGTCCCCCTGACTGGCTCCCATTCCCATCAAGYGTAAGACCAGACTCATCCAGATTAATGATTCTGTTGAGTTGTCCTGCAAAAAAAACAATTTCACCTTCCTGAATTTCATCATCTCTCTTTAGCCTGGCAAAGCCTTTTGCAACAAGTTCATGCTTCAGTTTGCTAAACCACATATTAATATTATTATAAGTTGTCCACTTGATACGTCGTTCTTCAATTTTGTTACCGTTTTTTGTAACCTTCAAGTGGCCAGCGAAGGTTGGGAGAAGACGACGGTATAGGTTCACGTAATCGTTGAGCAAACATGGACCCGGAACCAAGCAACTCTRCAGCATCGCAATAAAACCTGCACGCCGTGGAATCTTTTCTTTTTCCTCGCAAGCAAGAGCAACAAAGGAAGATATCRCATCTCCCAGGGCATGAATAATTGACTGCGGAAGCAAGCTCTTACRGCCCTTCCCAGGAGGGCCAAGATTTTCTTTCAAGTGTCGTCGCACTGTGTTTGGCTTGAGCRAGGTATTGTACAGCAAATTAACCTGAGATABGATACTCACAACAGAGGACTGGCTGTTAGGGGGCAAATTTTCTYGCTCGTACCTCACCTTCTTCGCAATTGCATTGTATGCATCGTCATGCGCCCTCTTCTTTAAGTWCTTGTTCACCRTTTTGATATGAGCTTGCTTAGGAGTATCAGGACTCTCTTTTAGAAGGACTGGTGCAAGGGCTCCCTGCTTCAGACTGCTTTCATCTTTGCTCCTCTTCACTGGTGTTGCTGTTGGTGGTGGATTCGTGAGAAGTGCTMACTTTGATTCCAAGACCTCAACCGCCAAGCCCGAAAGTTTTGAAAGCTCTTCCAAGTTGATTAGCGCCACCTCCTTTGAGGAGGTCAAAGCTGATGGTTCTTTCTTTGAGGACATTGAACACTCAAGATAAGTAGGTGGGGCCTTAACCATCCTTTCCATGCACCTCTGCACTCGTCGTYGCAAGGCTTTGTTGTTTGCCTCCTCTTCACTGAACTGAGCGAATATCATTGATCTTTTAACAGAACACTGCAGACCCCTGGACTTTGAACCATGCAAKTTCTCAGCAGCAAGGGTTGTTCTTTCACAAGCCAAGACCGCGCGTCCTGATTTCACTGATCCAACTGCAACTGTGTCCTTTACTGCTGCTGGTGCTGGTGTTGGCGTCTTCATTGTTGCTATTGAATTTCCTGCTTTTCCTCCGCCCCCCTCCTGTGGTTCTTTGTTGCAAATYGCCAACCCCACTCCTGATTCAGCACGTGTTTCCACACATCCCTTGGTAATAGACCGGATCGATAGTGATACTGGGAGTACAGCGCTAGCTCTGGGGGGCCCTGGCATGCTTGTTTTCATCTTCTTCTTACTGATACTGCTCATTTCAGAGCCGAAATACACCCAAAATACAGCAAAAACTGCTTTTTCTTTCAAAATACTCCGTTGATTGCAACGATACTTTGGGATCAAGTCTCCTTTGATGTATTAAGGACGTCCGACACACTGGTTGTTTTGGTAAGGGGGGGGAAGACGGTTTCTTTTTTGTTACACTGGGGAGTTCGTCGTTGCTGTTTTCACGTTGATTTTCGACTGTAGTAGCTTTGGTATCCTGTTGCTCCGAAACTACTCAATAGATTGATCCGATACTTCACGGTCCTCTTCCCTTTGATGTAAGGATTGTGACACTTGTCTTGTGAGTGCGATTGGTTGGGTATTCATAAAGTTCTGGAGGAGTGACAGCTTGCGTTGTGGTTGAGGTTGATTAAATGAGAATATTTTTTATTTTTCGTGCGCTCAGAAATCAACAAGCCCGAAAAGGTTCTCTGACAGGAAAGACATGCAATATGGACATGTATCRAAAGAGGAGGGAAAACCCTTTCCGACTGATCGATTCTCTAATTCTGATTGGTCCTTGTGCTTGAGTTAACAAGCAAGCAAAGTGAGCAAAAAACTGGCGCGTTTTATGTACTCATAACCTGTTAGAAATCGATAGTCATAACGCACCGAAMCCTGTACTATCTATCTGTCTCGTTACAGTCCAAAAAGTTTGACTCAGGAACGCCCCCACTCGCACTTATTCATTTAGGAATTGAATAACAAATAATCATCTATCATACTGTAGAGCAATTTGATCGGATTGAATTAGAATTAAGTTGAATCTGATCTAATTGAGTCGAGTCGAGTCGAGTCGAATCGAATCGAATCGCAACTCAAAGGGAAACTCATCGAAAAGAAATTAGCATGACACCTTCCAACATTGCTGCTACTGCGCATAAAAAGTGCTATTGTGGACCATGCCGCGCCCTTGTTTACCTTACGATGACTATTTTGGCGATGGAGGTTCTTAACGCCTCGTTTGTTGGGGCAATGGGGGCTAAAAACGAAAATCGGGAAGCAYACAACCAGCTGCCAAAGAACCAGACWAGAGCGACAGCGTCAAGAACAAATGCGACTAGTGGCTCGCATCATCCCTATCCGGCTTCCAAACCCGAACACCAACCCTCCGACAGGTTTCCGGGAATCTACATACTGGAGTACACCTACCATCATCAAAGTATTGGAAACGCGCCCTTGATGACGGCGCTAAGTCGTACGACATCAACTAGAATGGGTGTAACAAGACCCACGGTGCTACAGAGATTGGATGTCCTGCGCGTCGAATGTCACGGCAGCCATCATATTGCTCTTGAACYTGACATAGAACGAAACAACAAAAATGCTGMTACTACTAGCGAACCAGCTTTGGGTTCCAATCGCAGTCCTCTTTCCGGGAGATGTGAAGGACAAGTGTTGGTGCATAGTCGGGACGAGTACGAAGAAATTACCACTATGTGCCATCGCGATCGAATGCAGAAGCACAAGGGTTTGGATTTCGACTGTACAATCCRTTACAATGCGACCCTAACGGAGCACTGGATTGATCCGAGGTTGAGAGTGGCAGCCCTTGCGGGCACCGCAACGAATAGTAACAACGGTGAGATACAATCACCGTTAAAACGGCTACGAAGGACGGCCGAAAAAGAGAGCATCGCGAAGGGAAGATACGACACCGGCGAAACCACCATCAGCGACTTCCAAGAGGAAGACCAACGACTCGATGATGCTTCGACTTCTGCGATGCATCTCAACACGGAACAACCACCGAAACGGGCCCAGGTATACGACTAYAAATCTAACATGTACTCGACCATTCCCGAGCACGATTGCTATCTCGACTACGAGGGGACCATTTCGTGGATCAAAGATTTTGTCAAGGCGCATGCGTCGTCCGCTTTGCTGGAAATTACCTGGAGCGATATTGGTGACTCGTGGAAGAAGACCAAGGATCCAAACGACGGTTACGATATCTTTGCACTCACCATCACTGGAAAGGCAGCAACCCCCGACTTTGAGGAGTCGTCTTCGTCGTCCTCATCAAAGTTTGAGGAGTTGTTTGGAATCAATGAAAACGGTGCCTCTGAGAACCAGTCATCAGAAAGCTACGAGAACATTTTACAAAAGAACACMAAAAAAGGTAAGGCTCCTCTTTTGCTTGTGTCCTCCACACACGCACGGGAATACACACCACCCGAGTTGGTGCGGCGCTGGCTGGATTTCCTCGTAGATACTGTAGTTAGCGGCATCCACAGCGAGGAGAGGACCGACGCTCTATCCATGCTGGAACACACAGTTATTCACTGGATCCCATACCTCAATCCCGACGGTCGCGTCCTGGCCGAAACTACCCAACCCTTCCGCCGAAAAAACCTCAATAGCGAATGGACGTTGGATCCCCGTGAATCCTCCGTCTGCCCCGAGGATTCGTACGGAGTCGACCTCAACCGAAACTTCCCCTTTGAGTGGGGGAATGACAATGGATCTGACGAAATAGCCTGCTCGCCATTTTCGAGGGGATCTGGTCCAGCCAGTGAACCAGAGACAATCGCACTGGTAGAATACGCAAAATCGATCTTTCCGATCGCCCAACAGGTGGGGAGCAACGCAGTCCTGCACAGCGGGGGAGACTACAGAATCGTACATGATCCTACCAACAGTGTCCCCGCGGATACATCTTCAACAAAATGGAGAGGATTCGATCCATCCTTCACGAAGGGCGTCTTCGTCGACGTCCACAGCTATGGGAAGGTCTACATTTATCCCTGGGGTAATACCAATGCACAGTCTCCCAACGATGTTTCCTTTCGGTCGGCAATGGGTCACATCGCTTCCCTCACGGGCAACGCGCCGCTCGGGCCCGGCCCGGACCACTATGGTGTCGCCTCAGGGGCAACCGATGACTGGGCTTATGCGAGCCTCGGCGCATTTTCCATGACATGGGAGATTGGAAGGAACTTTCACGAAGACTGTGGGGACTTTGAGACTGACGTTGTAGACCCCCAAAGGCACTTTCGTTCCTTCGCCTACTTGGCCAAGATTGCCCCATTCCCCTTTGCTCTCGGTAAAGGACCGATCGTTTCCCAACCTTCCGATGGGCTGCTGCTCGGTGTAGGAAATGAAGTGCACATATATTATCAGTATACAGGCACTGCTGCTACTACTGCCACCAACAATCAATTCTATCATCGTGCGAATGTACACGACAACGAATCCAACGACGACGAGGTGCTGGATAGGAATGCCTATACTGCTACAGCCCTTAATCATGGCAGCAACKCTACTAATATTGAAAAGCAGGTGGTTCGGGTCRAATCCTACCCCAAAGAGGCCTACACTGTCGAAGCCGATCTGGACGCAGACGAAACAATCGCCATTGCTATTGAAGTAAAATTACCAGAACGGATCCCTCAACATTTCGAACCGATCGAGTTTGAAACTGATAACGATGACGAAGAGGAAGATGACAGTCATTCTTCCATTCCCCCTTCCTCAATCTCCATCATTCGTATCTTTTATCGGAAGAATCCACTCGTCGGAGCCAAWGAATATGGCAGTGGGGTTGTTCCATCTCTTAGTGACGGACAGTATTATTGGGACCTGYCCTTTGATTCTTCCAAGGACGACCACGACACCTTGTATGTTGGATATCTAACCAAGAGCCAGCTGTGGGAGGCGTTTGGTTCGAACGACGAAGAAAAACTGCCAAAAAGAAAACCACCAGCTCAAACCATGCACACGCTCTACATCCAAGCAATGGATAATGCCGGAAATTGGGGTCCCGTAACGGGAACCAAATTGACGGTCGTGATTATGGAGGAAACCAAGGACATATATGAAAAGGATACTTATCCTTACAATAACAATCATACGATCGACGACTGGGAGTTGGATGACTTTTTCGGACCCATCCTTGGCGACGAAACAACGGCAGGCCATTCGGTAACCGCAACGACTGCTCCAGCGGCAGATAGCCAATCTTCAGCATCCTCGAACGATGATTCAGACGTTGCAAATCACCAAAGCAGCAACAGTGACTCTACGTTCCCCTCCGCTGAAGCCAAGAGCGCTCCTGGATCCGAATACGACGTAGGAATGGACGATGCCTTCTTACACGAGGAGCAAGAGAAACAGAAAGATATTGATAATGACGAGAAGGAACCAGAGGAGATCGGCGAAGAGGAAAAGATTAGGTCCAATGCGCATGCCTCTGGTTCTCTTAGTCGTTATCATTATGTCAGCGTAATTCGGAATTGGCAAGGGATGAAAAGCCAGTCTGTTTCTAGTTTAGCTGCAGTCGTCTTGATACTGTTATATTAAAAACCAAATCTGATGCAYATGGATCAACCAGCGAACAGAACAAAATCTATCTATGACGAAAGTGTATCTTATCTTGTTATCAAAGTTGAACAGTAAAGTACGTCCAGCAGTGGTCCAAATAGTAATGAAACGAGAATGGGTTAGGGGTCAAAGGCTCTCAATGTAATTGGTCGAAATGATACAGAAACGCCACGGCTTTACCAAAATAGTAGGGTGTTTTAACGTACTGCAATTATGAGTCATGGTTCTTTTGCAGTGTCAAAGGTTCAACGCTGGCACTGCAACCACGTATCTAATCATTGTCATGCATATAAAATGCATTCAAGTGTTTCATGGACAAGTCAAAAACTAATTCAGATACTACTATCAGTGCATCAATAAGCATGAAGACAAAAAAAATGCAATGTTTTACTTGAAAAGGGTTATTCCTTTTTTACAGACATCATATTATAGTTCAATAACCTTCAGCAATACTACAATATCTGACTTTTTTTTAATACTTTCAAAACAAGATCCCTCATGGTTATCATGCAACATAGTGGCGACATTGCATCSACAAGTAATTGTGTTTCTTGGTCACACCTTGGAATTCATTCATCATATTCTTTATTGACAATGCTGTTCAGTCCCTCCTTTCTCAATTGTTGGCAYATTGCCTTGGCATAGCTAAGTGATCCAAGCAATATTTTGGTACTATCCAATCATAAATTTTGTACCAACAATGTTGTGGTGGCATGAATTCATCCATGACACTTGTACACAGACCTCAATTATTTCCCACCATGCACTTTGCAAATTAAATTTCCAATTCATAACTTTCCACATAAATCATTGTGGGCAATTCTTTGTCCTCCTATGAGACAACTGCAGCCTGCGTGAAACAACAATTGTCAATTGGACTAGAGAAAGCTCTTGGCTAGTAGTCCCCAACAGCAACATGTCTGTGATTAAGTAAAGCTCTAAAAAGAATAGTGAGAGAGGCAACCCATTCCATTATGATATGAGTCTTCCTCACAGAGTATCAAAGGCCATCATTTTGGCGGTGTACAATAGGCTTCACCTGTTCAACRACAACGTTACGCAAAGGAATCAATGAAGTGGACAAGGAGTGAAGACTAATAATATGGAGGAGTTTAATCTGTGAAGTTATACCAAGTTGATAGTTTGTTGGTCAGTTCTTCGCTACAGGGTTTAAAGTATTGCAATGTTGCAAAAAATCATGGCAATGCTACTGCCGTACTGTTACTTCGGCTATTATGGACGACAACACGTGTAKCATAGCCCATTGTTAACTTGATTGAAAAATAATTTTTATTCTAGTAATTTTGATATCTATTCAGCTTWTTCAATGTGATTGTTTAGTTTCGGTCTTTGTATATTGTCATATCATTTTGTCTTGCAATCTCTCAGTACGAGTACGCAATAGCAAGGATGCAATAGCAACGATTCCACGAATAGAAAATAGTGTATCACTTTATCACTATGCGAGTGAGGTGAGGTGAGGTGAGGTGAGGTGAGTTTCTTTTCTTGGATTCACGTAGCCGCAAATGAGTGGTTTGTGATCCAGATTCGAGTTGGTAAAAATCAAAAGCTCGACGACGAACTTATCTAGCAGGTCCATGATAGATTAGATTAGAAGCAAGTCCAGCTTGCCACTTCAAGTAGCATCACAMCGTTGAAATATACCAGATTTGAGATTTGGTTGCTTTATGACTCCTCAATCAATGCGATCAGACTTCGTTGGCGTTCTCACTCTTGGACAATCGTAAGTTCTTTAGTCGGGTCGTAATACCACAGAGTTTCGATTTGGCCTTGATCGAAGTAGTCGAAAAGTCTTCCGTTGGTGCTTCTGCCGTGCTCGATTTCGTCGTGAGTATGGTCGGGGCAGAGAATCGCGAAGTAATTTTCGGTAACGCGTTGGAAGATTCAGARTGGCCGCTATCGACATCGCTGAAACGSTTCTTTTGGAATCGTCGCCCCATGCTGGCTGTTAGAGAGGGCACGGACTTGCCAACTCYTGTGAGGCTGGTGGATAGAGAGCGCCTGCGAGTCTTGGCGTTGGAATTGCAACCGCTGTCGGTTAATTCGTAGACCGTCGTCGCCGTGACACCACCCCGTTCTAGGTAGAGGAGAATCGTGTGCTCGGCCCATTCGTAGTGCATAGGAGTTAAGTCGTCATCATTATCCACCAAAGGGATGTGTAGGCAATCTGGATCAACAAAAGTTTGGTGGACCAGAAGAGTGATATCGCCCTTCCCGTGACCGAGAGCCCGCAACCATTTTACGCAGGCATTGTTAGTATACATTGAGAGATCATTATCGCTGCTGAGTTTGTCCGATAGCAGATTGACTTTTAAAACTTTGCGGTTGCAGATGAAATAAGTAGCAGTTGCGTTTTCTCCGCGTTTGCTATTGCTGCATAGTTTGCTCTTATATTTAGCAAAAGAGATCTTTGGCATCTTGTTGGATTTTGTCGCCACAGGAAACTTCTTGTATGAATAACTTTGATCCGCAACTCGGTCGCGCTCACTTGGGATATAGTTCACCCTTAATACCTCATCTCTAATGTAGGTTTCATCCACTTTGAGTGCACGCAATCCGTCCATCATGAGCCTGAGGTAGCGTTCTTGGGGCTTGCAAAACACCGAATCAACGCTGCAGGAGTCGCCATTGTTTCCAGAGAGAGAAATCCTCGCGTTTTGATGTTGAGATCCTTGATCGCTCATCGCGAAGGTCAGACATCGAACAGTCGCGGGATCTTCTTTTTGGGACCTTGACTTCGCCCCGATGGTGAAGGGACAGGAGTATTCTTCTTCCGAGGAGCATGATCCCTCATCGTCTTCGTCACCAACAAGTCCTGAGTCAGCAGTCGAGAAAGCACAAGACTTGCACAAATGGCGGTTCCGTATCAGATCGGAACCATTTCTGCGCTCCCCGTTGTAGCTTTCATCCTTGTGGTCTTCTTCCTCTATTAGATGTTCATCGCTTCCTCTATTCACCTCAGTCGGAAAGGTCCTTGAGTTCTTGTTCTTGGGGTCCAGGTTCGTCTCGTCGATGATCGAGACGCTGACCTCCTTAATATCATACCCTGCATCAAAATTTCGAAAGTTCTCCCACTCATTAACGCTGTCAAACCGGAGCAGGACTCCCTTGACATCCCAACCCATCATGGGAACGACATTTGCGGTGCCGCCCTCTACAAACCTCAGCCGGTGGTCGTACAAAATCGCAGGGCGGACGTTATGGGGTGAGATCTTGCATCCCCGTCGGCACCGGACTAAAGGGTTCACAATGGGACCGTATCCAAAATAGTAGATCGCGCTCTCATCTTGGCTGTTGCTGGGCATGATGAAGTCTTCCGAAGTCAGCACATCAATGGATTCGCACACCGTGGACTCCGTATGAGATGATGAACGAAAGCTCTCTTTGCTGTTGTAACTATGTTGACTTTGATGAATGCGATTATAGTGTGGCTGCTGTTGCTGCTGCTGACCTTCTTCGATTGATAATATAGTCATCGGAGGTTGTGGAAAGGCGGTGCTGTGTTTCTCTGTATCTGTTATATTCAAAGGTAACATAATTGTAGCCTGCATGTGACAATTTTGCAATATGAAGCTGTGTTTTTCCCTTTTGAATAGATTTGGTATCGAATAATCTGTTTATTAATGACTATTGCTTCTGTTCTCACTTCACTATAGCGAAATGCCGATTCAGTTCGGTGTGTCACGTTCTCGAACTGATAATAATAGTATGATGTATGACTAAAGCCAAGTGCGAAGCTCCTCGCAAGTGTAACAGTGCAGTAATCGTGTTGTTCTGTGAGAATAATATCGTTGCAGGTACTGTGTTGTTACCATCTATTCTATCAGCGAATGCTAATGGAAACTATTATCGGGTAGATAATGTGTTGTAGAGTGTTGAGATGAGTCCCATGTACACTGATTTCATCGCTCTGGGTGATCGAGCTTTAAACTCCAAAAGGAAGATTGATTCCGGTCAGCTAGACCTGATCGTTAAATGTTTGCAGACACCGAATTTCCTTCATGCCGTGGAAGTTTAGGAAAACGCACAATACAGATATCTGTACGCACGATGATGTTCCGACGACCATAATTATGGGAACCCGTTGGAATACTAGTACAGATAGCTAGTAGATGTAGGCGTATCGAAATAAATACAGTACGTACTACGCAAATCGTAAGAGACAACTCCGTTGTAAGTAAATACGTACTGTAGTACCGTACAAGTACATTATTATTTTTGTTTCCCTTCTCACATTACTTGCAGTYAAAATACGATTAGGCAATTGGTGTGTCTCACTGCGTCAACATGCTCAGGTACAGTAAAGAAGCAACGAAATGGAACATTTCATTTCCACTCTGTATGCAGTTTTCGTATCTTTGGGATGATACAATAATGACAAATACATGATACTTCTGGTTTGAATTGAAATTGCCTCTCACTTGCAGCAACAATTGCTGATGAGTTCTGTATTCTCTACTGATCGCGCACTCCGCGCGGAAAGGAACATAGGAAACTGCTTTGCAACCAATATATAAAGTGATTGTTCAGCTCAGATCATTTTTCTTACTTAAGGCAATCTCTCTTTGCACTACAGAAGAATACAAATGATCAACGATGCACAGTACGTTAACGTACCAGTATAGTTCGAAATTTTTCGTGCTTTGACCAGTTCTTGGGAAAACAAGGACTTCTATGAAAGAAACAATCGATCTCCATTGAGRATGCAGACGAATCGGAAACAAAGCCAATCATCAGAACTTCGTGACRTTAAGTGCTTTTCTTAAATGAAAAACAATAAAGGAATCTGTAGTGGATGATTCGAACGATGGGTCTTGGGTGGCGGGAATCAATAATTATCAATCCATGCTTTGCCGTCATCGGTGATGCAATCTCAAAAAATAAAAAATAGTAAATGAATGAGTTCGCATGATCGATTCAGTGTTTCATCCATTCGTTCTTTCGGTTCGCAGAATTTTCTGTATGCGCTCTAAAACGCTTTTGACACATTMGCGAAGAATGATCTTCTTCTTTTAGTTTCGTAAGGATCAGGTCGAACGAATCACGAATAGCTAGTGAACAACGAAAACAACTGGACAGACACCGGAGGCGTTACGGTCGTAATAC